CAGGGATTCCGGATTCCTTACCCTAACATCAAACATGCACTTATTGCACTTGTAAAACTACGATTATATAGGTAGTATATATTTAGTGAGAATTCAAGTCACTACAGTGATTCATTTAAATATAAATTACTCCACTGTACCTATTAAGTGTCGTATAGATCGCTGTATAATCGATGGTATTAAATTTGAATTCAATGATATAAAATGTATACGAAAAACTATTCTGAGTTAGAAACAATAAGTAAAACAAAAAAATAAAACTAAAAACAATAAGTGATAAATCTAATTGTTTCTATAAAAAATTCCACAACCACTTAAATACTCATTCGAATCCCCGTATGAAAAATTTGGCCTCCACTACCATACCCGGTAATCCCCCAAGATGCCCAAAATGCAAGTGGTGGGAAGAAGTGTCATCAATGGGTCGCTCCTTTCATCAAAATAATGTTACCTGTCATATTTGCTACTTTTTGCCTATATTTTTATTATATTAATAATAAATTAAAATATTATGTATTGCTTGTAAAAATGAAATAAAGTAATAATATTATCATGTAAAGAAAATAATAATATAAAAATTTGGTGAAAGTCGCAAGTATATAAGGTAATTTGTTTTTGATTTTGTCAAAAACTGGTTTTACATAAAAATGTCCGTTTTCCTCAATTTAATTTTTGGTTATCCCGAGTACTGTGATAAATACTAAGAATTACCTTTTACTTCCCAAAGTACGAATTAGATACAATTTTCCACTAGAAACCACTCTCAAAGTTGAAAATTGAAGCAATTTTACGGCTCCAAAAAGTGACGTTACGCACACATATAAAACACATCTTAAAATTTCAGTAACCATTTAATAAAGTAGTAACTATTTAATGTAACTTTTCTTGTTTAACGTTATGTAAAAATAAAACAATTTCATTAAGTGACTATACGATATTTATAAAATAGTGATTGATTTAAAGTAAGACCCCCATAAAGACGATAATATAAATTAAATTATAATAGTAATAACTAATAAGTAATAAGTTATAAATTGTTATACCTAGACCTATTACATAAATATAATTTTGATAATTCAATTGATACAAGTTTTTCTATATTTTTTTGTTCTATAAATATATAACCCTTAACCCTTACTTACTTATAAATAATATAAAACTGAACAAGTTTACAATAACATAGAACATGAATACATTTTGATTAAATTATACATACCAAAATGGCGAATTATACATTTCATAAAAAGCTTCACTATTTACAAAATTTAATTCAAACCTTATTATTATAATTTATAACGTCATGTTATTGATGTTTTTGTTTTGTAAAGTTTAAATTTTAAATTTTATTTCAAGGTTAATATTGTAACATTTTTAAAAGTGTAGAAAATAATTATGCACAATATTTGATAGGAATACTTTTAATTCAAAAAGACAAATGTATTTCAAAAAAAAACACTGCTTGGAATAGAGTTTTCCAAATAATACTGTCATTATCAAAATGATCGAAGAGAGACCTAGTAGCCAATCTTGTAGTAATAATAGTATGTATTTCATGCTAAATACCAAAGTAATTTTAATTTTATTCATAGGCGTACATGAACTCGGTTAATGTTAATTTAACTACATTAGTATTTTTATTGGGTAGGTCTAAGTTCTAGAAGGTATTTAATAATAAGCATTAAAATGAGTTCAAAGTTATTTAAAGATAATTAAAAATTATTATTTCAAAGGTGAGGTTAAGTGAAAAAAAAGTAGTACCTACAGCATCTATTAAACAAGACGTAGTAGGTATGTACAAAATGTGCACCATAATATTGTTATACTTACTATAGTTTTAATATAATTAAAAAATAGTTTATCAATTCAATCATTTATCAAACTTAGATTTATTTTATAATAAAAAATTGTTTAAATTTTTTTAACTATCTATTCTGGTATTTCAATGTTTATTTTTATAGCACTTTTTTTAAAAAATAAATATACTAATGATAAGTCATAATAAGGCTGTTTCTTACAGTAAGTTAATTATAAATGTTAAAAAAAATTTAATCTATCAAAACTTGAAATATTTTTAAGTCATACCCATTCATATTATTTATTAAACAGTTATTACTTATAACTTAAAATAATCATTCATTAGTTATAGCCTACAACTTAAAGGTATACACTTATACAATTTCTTCATTTCTGACAATGGATTTAACGATAAAATAAAAAAATTAATACAACTATAATTTGTTAAATTACATCAAAGAGATGCGTCGTTGTTGGTGAGGGGAAGGGGGTTGGTGCCGTCACACCTATTTTTTTTTAATTGCAAAAGTAAAAATAATATACCGATATGTGTTTTTAATCTGATATTGAGTCAATATTTAGTATTTATTTTAAATTTTTGAATATATCTTTGATGTGATCCGACAATTAACAAAACGAATTATCAAGATAAAATTGATAACAGTTATATATTAATCTTATATTATTATATTATGAACAAGTAATAACAAATAATAGTAAAACGATTTCTTTCTATAATAGATTATAATATTTGAATAAAACTAACAGTCAATATACATATTATTATATTTGTATTAGCAAAATGTCTATGGATATAATATGGATTTATACTATTTTGGTAATATACCTTCTGAAATATCGAAGATATACATATTAATAAGTTATTTACATATCCCAAGTACTGAGTAGGTACCTACATTTCTAACCGTAAACATGGTCAAACAAGATTTATTTGATGGTTGGATGAGTTTCTTGGTTGTATTCAAAAACCATACACTTAGGATTTTGACTCCAAAAAGTTTGATACACAAAAACCACACACAGTTTGCAAATTGCAGATGTTTATTATGAACGTCAAAAAAATTAACCAAGTTTACCAAAAAATTTGGTAGAAGCATTAAGTTTCATTTTAAATTGTTATAGTATTACCACCCAAATTCAAAAATGACTTATGTTTACAAAGAAGATGAAATTGTTATTATAACAATATACCTATGTATTATTTAATATATAAATAATATGAAAAAATTCCCAAAATACTTTTTAGAAAGAAAAAACTAGAAAATGTATAGTTATATAACCCATTTTCATGGCTGAATATTATGTGGCGATAATTAATAACTTATAATTTATATTATTTTCAGTATATATACATCGGTATAAAAATGTTTTTATTATTGAACATAAAAAAAAGTTGAAAAACCTATTATTTTCTTACTAATAATAGATAATAAAAATGGTTATCATTAATATTTTTAAACATTATGGCACCAACAATTAAAAACTGATAGATATGACTCGCCTAGTTAGAGCCTAGTTGAGTTGGGTTATGCCATATTTATCACGTATTTTTTTTCGGACACCTACAACATTTGAGACAACAATTAATGTTGAATCTTCAAAATAAAATTGATACAGACTAACATACTATGGTACTATCTCTTAGGCTATAGTATTGATAACCTTTAATATTGTATTGTGAATTGCGATACACTTATATACATCGAATGGAATAGTGTAATAATCTAAGACATATAGTGGAAACATAAAATAAAATAAACTAATTTTAGTGTTACGACTAACCAACTAATTAGAGCAAATTTGCTATAGTTATTAATATTACCTATTTAATAATTATTATCGAGCTATCAGTTAATTCTTCATTTCCTCATTTTAGATTATTTAGTGAATGCACAAAATATCCTACGTAATATTTAAGCATCCTGTATTAAGAAATAATATAATATGTAATAATTATGTAGATAATATCTATGTATTAGCTTACAGTGTATATTTTGTGTTTTCATTATCAAATTACTTTACTATTTATTATTAACTTATCAAATTAATAAAGAGTTATAAGAAATAATGATTAAATTCTATTATGTTTAGATTCATCTATTATTTATTTTTAAAAGATTTTAATTCAGTAAATCAAGTTTCACAACATTTGTTTATGTTGTTAAGCATTAATGCATAATGTTAAGTGTGCAACATTTTTAATGAAATCAGTAGGTATAGGTACACGGAAGTATCGGTTTAGCCAAAACATACCACATTTAAAAATTATTTGTATGCATTGATATAATGATATAGGTACTTTAAATAGTAATACATATTATAGGCTATACAATACACACATTAGGTGCACACGCAGATCGGGAAAACACTTCAGAACATTAAAAAAAATCTATTCTATTAAAAGTTATCCATATTGCGTAAAAAAATGTTATTTTATACAGTAAACAAAACTATTATCTGTTTCATGATGAGGAAAAAAATTATCGTCCATATCGTGAAAAAATAGATTATTTACGGCTCTTTGCCTCTTTACGGCTCGACTGAAATAATTCTAAATCACCAATGGCAGCAGGATGGCGCGAACCATAAGAAACAACGGATATACGTATTATACCTACAGAGAAAATAATAATAATAATTATAATAATAATTGTCCCTGTGGATGAATAATGGATATATATATATATTATTAACCGAACGTCGGCGACGGCAACACAACATAAATGATGTCCCAGACAAAAGCGTTTCGCACTTGTTGTCAGTGGGGAGGGCAGTACAATGGGCAGTCTAATGTTATGAGTGTATTTTTTTATTTATTCATTTTTTTATCGGTCGATAGAGATAAAACCGCAAGTAGCAAAATTGTTCCATCCGCCCGCGGCAGTAGTATAGTATGCAACCATGTCAGCGTCAGTTAACAGCGCGCGCGCGCCGCTTTGTGTCCTTTGACTGTCTCCTCAATCGCCACCACGTGTTACAACGATCACTACGACATCGTATCCTCCCGCGGCACACTCTACGACGATGACTACATGGCCGACGACGACTGACCGGCCGATCGGCTGCTACTTTTATTTAACCTGCTAAACCGACTACGGTAAATTTACCGAGTAATTTCGGCGTTGTTGTTCTGCCACCCACCCCGAGACCGTAGTGACATCGTGACACCCTTGACACCACCCGCGATGACGTCTATGCGACGTGAGCTCGGTGACGGGCCCGCCTCCCTGGTGGCTGTTGATGCCGCGTTGTCCACGGCAGTGATAACACCCATAGTGGTCACATACTGGAGGATAACTTGGAAGCTGATGGATATATACCTACTACCCGGGCACCAGGTGTGGAGCACCATCGCGTCCGTGGGCATCGGGTTCATCGGCTTGTTCATATTTACGTTATTCCAGCACCGGTTCAAGGCCTACCTGAAGCCCAGGAAGCACTCAGTAATTTACTATGTAATGTCCAGAAGTTACACGGCTGCGTTCGCATACTCTTGCGTTAACTCGTGGCGCGGCATCTGGAACATTATGGATGAGGTGACGGGAACCCGCCCGCCAGTGATCGCTGCATCCGTGGTCATCGGTATATGCAGCTTGGCCTCCATGAAGACCCTGCGCAACATCATTGCTCCCCCAATAGCTATACTAACCGACAACTACGACGGATATTTTGAGGTGCCCACGCTGTTTCGCATTGGAGTTCGAGTGAGATTTTCCACATAGTAAATTTGTACATCATCGTCGAGTCACATTGTTTACATCACACGATGATATACCTAATGACGATAGTAATGTTGTGACTTGTGGTATTACCCCTACACGTGGTGTTTATATAATGTAACCGTGTACAATAATTGTTACAGTAGTATATATAATGTTTTTTTCTTATTTGGGAGTAAAATGATTTACCAACCCTAAAAGCACCTAAAAAGTTTCTAATCATTCATGGTCTTATTAAGTCATGACCCTAAAAGCACAAAGAAATCCCATAAACGTTTTTAAAATTATGAAGGTAACTATATAATATAATATAGTAACTATAAAACTACTGTGGGCCTAAAACGTATGAAATATTTTTATGTCTAAAAATTATAAGTAGTTTAATGAAAAAATATTTTATAGCATTACATAGACAATAGATTTAATACTTAAGAAGTTTATTTCCTGTTGTAGTTTATACTTTTTGATGAAATAAACTTATACTGTTACCTGCATAGTTTAGTATACACTATAGTACTATACAATGTGTATTGTATTATGCGTAGGCTTGAAGGTGATTATATAATGTTTGTATAATTTTGCTTAATTCATAAAATGTAATAACATTTTTGCTTAATTCATCGGAAACATAATTCAATTAAAGGATAACACCAATTTTATACTTGGAGACTTAATTGTGAGACTGCTGGCTTTAAAATTATGGGTTTAATTGTTGGTTAGTTTAAGTATGATTTGCTTTTATTCTACATTTTTGGTGAATCCAAGATATTTTAAGAGGTTAATAATTTTGAAATGTATCTCTGGCTAAATAGTCTAAATATTAAAGTTGTGTAAGTTTTTTTTCAAATAAACCGAATTTTTAATATTTGATTATAAGCTGAGTGATGTATGAATTGGATTAATAATCATATATATATATATATATTTTTTTATTTTTTGGATAATACCTAAGGGTCGAAATTGTAAATAACCAGTAATTTTCAAAATTGTTGGGGAAAAAAGTTTAGAAAAAAGAGGATTTTTTACGCGAAACCCCGTTTTCGACAAAATCAATTTTGTTTTTTTGGTGTACCTAAATCAAAAACAAATAGCCGTAGATACTCGAAATTATCACCAAATGATTATTATTGAATTTTCCGTACATAAAATTATTAAAATTATTTTGACTTTTTTTTAACTATTTATATACGTATTTGAATTTTCGATTTCGATTATTTTGTTTTTTTTTTAAATGTTGATAAAAAATTTAAAAAAAATAGATGACCGGAAATTCACATTAATTTTTTTGGATCGTTTGAAACTCAATTTTTTACGATGTTGGATATTTGCGAGCAAAACCCCCTAAAATAACAATTCCTCATCGAACGATTTATTTACTTTGTTGTAATTAAAAAACGAATTACCGTAGATACTTAGAATTTTCACCAAATGCTTATATAAGAATTTTATATACACTTTACAATTTTCAAAATATTTTTACTCGATTTAGTTATTTATAAATATTTAAAATTTGAATTTTTATGTTGATAAAAAAATGTTTCGCTGGGCCAAAAGCCTTGAAAATTTAATACCAGATCCCTCGTATATATTTACTAGTCATTTAAAAATAATAAATATGAAAGATACAAAAATATTTTTTTATATGCATTTGAAGTTTTAACAGAATTTCGTCCAACTCTCACAATTCGCAAATCATTTTGTAGTTAAAAGCAAGTATATAAAATGTTCAATTGTTATAATTAAAGATTGAAACTATAAAACAATTTTCTTTATAACTAATTCATACTGTAACCATAAAATATATTATGAACACAGTTATTTTTATACAGGCATTTTAATTTTTAAGTTAAACTTAAGACGAAATTATTTAAACTAAGTATAACGTTTTTAGTTTTTTTTTTGTAATTTAAAAATATTTTTCGTGGGTTGATACTTGAAATTTTTAAAGTATATAAATGTATAAAAATTTTAATACACTCAATGACATTTTTTAATGCAATGGTCGAAAATTAATTCAACCCACTGTATTACTATATAGTAGTTAATATATATTACTTTAATATCAAAAATATCTTAAAATATACTTAGCGATATAGGCTGACAGACCGTCTTTGCTCAGAATCGTTTTTCGTACATGCAATTTTACGAAAATGATGGGAATTCGAATTCAGATTTAACACACCCATTACATCGATCCGCTGGACACCTACTGTACAACAGAGCGGTACCCACTTGTCCCCTTTTTATAATTGTAATTTACTATTATTCAATATTTTTTTTTGTCTTCCAGTATTTCTTATTTTTAGTAATTTCTTACTATATCAAGTTAAAAAAAGCAATTTAATAAATTATAAATAAAATGTAGTTTGAGTACATTGGGTTTACAATGTATTTATTATTTAACGCTAAGCTATGCCATTCAATTTACCTATAAGTATTGGATATGTATACAAAGAATATTTATAAATATCTATTGGCTAATATATCTACTATACCCACAATATAACATACATAATTATTATGTTTTCACTTGAATCATACCACCTAAAGATTAACATAATATTTTGAATAGTATTTAAAATAACCAATGGCCACTGTATTGTTTCTAAAACAAGCAGAAACTTGTAATTTTAACATGGAATGTCTAATATATATGATTAAATAAAATAACATAAAAGCCATACCAATTAATATAATATATTATATTAATATATCATTAATTTAAAAGTTTATACAATTTAACGATTAAACTATGCGTAAAAAAATAATTGCTGCGAAGTATTTAAAGGTCGTTGGGTCGTAATACGACATTCATAAGAGTCTATGAATCTCTCATTCTATTAAAAGTCTTTATTGTATGTTAGTTAGGTAGGTATATATGTATTAGAATATAGATCCCATCATTTATCATCCGTTTGCGGAAAGCGAAATTATTTATCTTGATCCAGTTCAAAACCGATTCCATAGTGTCATTGTCATCTTAGAAAACACTAATGGTCTTATTATAATAATTTAAACATGGTCAACCGTCGTAGATATTATTAAGGCCAACTGAATAAAAATTTGTGTTATTTTTTATAAATGTCCCAACTTGAATATTTAAAACTTCTAGGTATTTCTCAATAGATGAATTTTTCAAGTACAGTCTCTACAGTCTCAGTGTCTCGGCAATCGGGCTATGTCCAGTATTCCATATATATTTTATTTTATTTAATAACGTCTAAATAGCTATAAAATCGATCAATTCAACCGACAATCCAGATAAACCTATTAGATATTTAATCTAAGAAAATGTCAAAGCAAGGAGTCTAAGAATTTAAATCGGGAGAAAGTACAGAAAAATGGATAATCATTTTTGATTTCAACAATTTCTACAAAATATGCAATTTTTTAAAAATATAATAATAATAGATATGTATGTAAAATATAGATGTAATTTAATAGACATTTTATTTTTTATTTATAAATTACAATAATCCGACTACACTCCGATCTCACAGATATAGGTAGGTACATGTGGGATTATCGAGACTCTAGTACTTAACTGTAGTTAATCATAAGTGTATAAGTAACTCAGTAACTGGTGTATAGGTAACTTTCAACTTACTTTATGTCTTTAATTAATATGTATTATGGTTTCCTCTTTTTAAATCATCTTGATCAATTAACTTCATTAAAAACAGTTGTGTTCTTTATACTAAATAAAATAAACAATCTATTTTTATGTTGTCACTTAACATTAACATACTTTTAATTAAGCAAGAACAAATGCCAAATGGTAATATATAATTAAACTTTAATTAGAATATTGTATTAGTTTTTGTCTAGTAAAAATTTTAATAAATCTGATTAATGAAGTTTTTGTTATCAAATGATTTCACTGAATTCATTTGAACTAAACTCTTTAAGATTTATAAGATAGTCAAATATTTGTCTTGATCACATATTTATATGTATGGACAAATACATTTTCTTATTATGTATATTTATTTTGTATTACAGGATGGTACTGGATCATGGCTGTATGTATTGGATAGCTTTTTCAGCGTTTGTATTATTGGCTCATTGGTAGTCATCGTTTGGCGAGGTGTTTGGGGTCTAATGGATGATTATTTATACCCGGATGATTATCACACATCCGCAATTCTATCATTGGTAATGTATTTTATGAATGAAAAAACTTATAAAATTATTTCAACGAAATCATGTTAAATTAATATAGTTTTATCATAAAAAGTATTAATTTTATTTCGGACAAAGTTTGTCTACTAGGAAGCTATATATTATTTTTTATAATCTTCTAAACTGACTGTCAACTATAAGACATAAAAAACTATCGTTTCCAATTAAAAAGCATGCTATTCCATATTTTCCACTTTGAAGAGAATTAATGAATCATAAATATATTATATTAATAAGTACCCATTAATTGTAGGAATTAGTTAATTTTTACATTTAATTATTATTTCTAAGCGTCACACAAAATTGGTTAGAAAATAAAAATATCTGAACATTCTGAACCCAACCTAAAAACATATTATTTATGTTAAAAAATATTTGAGTTGATTTGATGGTTCATTTAGTTTGTGGACAAGCTTGTCCATCAGCTCATCTGTCTATTTAGATTAATATTTGTTTTTATCAAAAACAAGAGAAACAATGTAATAAACGATGTGTGAGAAAGTAACAGAAAGAAAATGTATAACTATGTTACCCGATTTAATAAGGTCCATTTTTTTTAACAACCGATTGAGTACAGAAAAAAAATAATTCAACAACGTTGTCAATTTTTGTGCGGCCCGTCTACACCAGCCCAATGTACAAGCCTAAAATACATTTAGTGAAATTAACGGGTCATACGGATCCACGTTGTAAGATGTTTGTCGATATACATATCCCTAGTTGGATTTTTGAGATAAACCAGTAATCTGTCATGTAAAATTGGTATTTTATTGTTATTCTATAGAGTAATTTAAATATACCTAACTATCAGTCGTTGCATCGTACTTATTGTATACCTGTAGCCTGTAGGTACTCAAAGTTTCTAACATTGTTAAGCAATATACAGAAAAATCGACGATATATTGAAATGTACGAAATTTGGTTTTTATTCACAAATATTCTTTTAAACTTAAAATAGTTTATTTCGATGATAAAAAATGAATAATTACGGCGATGGTTAAACAGACTTACGACGTCTGTACGCTCAGTGTCGCATTGTTGTATGATATTGTACCTTTTTTTGGATTTCTATGGTTTGATTTCATCCGACTCAATCGGGATGTGAAGTTAAACTGTGTTTAATCTGGTTTGCATCCAATTTATATAGATTACTGGACATAGATGATAGATATTGCATATGCCTACTTAGATTAAGTTAAGCCTACCTATGTTAAATATTTGTTTCAAATAACCGAAAATATAATATGAAGAAGATGAAAGCAAAGAACTTAAATTGTTGAATGCCTGTAGAAAACAACATCTGCTTAATGAAAAAACTACAATAATTTATTTTAACGTTTGTTAATTGGTCTTTTCCGTATTTTGATTGACCGTAATCGTAGTTTGTGTTTTATTAAATGTTCTCGAGCCACACACGTTTATCTTTCATCTTGACTTTGCTATATTACAACCATAGATGGTTTAAAAATAAATAGAATTATATTATGTATTGTTGAACTGTTGTATAGTATTAAATCATTCGACATTATATTATATAATAAGTACCTAACAACTGTTGATCTATCAAACATATTACACTTGAATTCAATACTTCGAGTTTATAGAAAATATTTTTGACTCAAACATAAGTAGGTATATATGCTACTGACTATTTTGTATATCTACCATCAATAGCAACTGCAGACATTAAATAAAAATTAAAAGATGTGTAATGTATTCATTAAATAGGTACCTTCATTAAGTAATTAAATCATTCAAAAGTTAAAATAATTAAACATGTTTGAGAAAATATTACATCATGATTTCTTATCTTTGACCTTTGTATGCATTACTGGTGTGACAGTGATATATCACAAAAACATTAAGGAAGCTTAATTGAAAAACGCTGATATTAGAGCTATATAATACATAATATTTTAATTATAACTATTACACAAATCTGAAATAAAACAATGTTAATTAAATTTACTGTCCTAAAAAGTAATATATAAAACATCCAAATACCTATGTCAAACAACCTCTATTTTAAAGTTAAATATTAATTGTAAATTGTATTTTTTTTACTACACAATCTGACATTTAGGTATTTTAAAAACCATAGCACTCTACTTGATATTTTCCTATGCAAGGAATATTTATGATTACCTTACGAAAAATCAGTCAGAAAAACAAAAAATGTGTCATCGTTTGCTTTTTATTATGAATGTAGGACCATTACAAGTTCACTGAATTTACGAATCCTCCCATTGTAGGAACTTTCACATGAATTAATATTTAATAAATTTTATTTTTTACCTATACCTATATAAATAAAATTAAAAGACCACTACACCACCTCATTTTAAACAGTTTATTTTGACTGCCATGTTACATGTAAGAATGTTTTGGGATGGAAGGTCGACGGCTATTGAGTAATGAGTAATGACTAATGAGTCATGGTTTACTAAACGTATTAACTAAAGCGTTTAAATGCCAAATTAATACAGAAAAAATGTATTTTATTTTCATTATTTTAGTATTTTATCACTTACCCATCAGTGATTTATGAGTGATTTGGATTATACATTTGTATTTATTATTTTATATTTTTTATATAATAATATACAACTAAAGTATAATTTAGTGAAGTTAAATTAAACCATCTTTCTATCGTTTTCTATCCTGATTCAGTTAAATTATACAATATAAATTATAAACACAATACCTATTACAATGATTAAGTTTATAATTTTCCACTTCTTAATTCTGGAGATATTTTTAATGTAAACCCCAAAAAAAACTGGTAACAGATTCAACGAATGCTAAGAAGCCCACGTATAATGTATATGGTTATATTCATTTGTTTATGTAGTTACTAGGTATATGCATGTTTAAACAAAGTAAGATACAAGTTAAATAAATTATATATATTATATTATTTAATAAATATGTCAACATTCATAAACATATAAAATAATAAAGGTCCCTGCCTAGATATAAAACAATTTTGACAATACTAATAATAATAATAATAAAAAAAAAAAAATAGTGTTATCATTCTATGTACCTATAATAAATATACATTATACAATGATTATTTATAATTTATTATATATAATGTATTCTCTCTATACCTTATCAAGCAATGACATATTTTATTTCTTCAGATTTGAATCTAAAAAAAATTACCTAATATATAATATGTAATACCTACCTACCTAATATGTACCTTTGTACCTATTAATAATTCTATATTTATATGTAAAACAAAATAGTTATTAGGTAACTAATATTCTACCTATAATTTGAATTTACTATAAGTCTCCCTCCAAGTTTTATTTAATATTATTGTCACCTATCGGTGAATTGGGAATACTGTTAAAATTGAATAAAACAAGTATATTTTTCGGCGATATGAGAATGTTTTCATAATATTATAAAACCTGTGTAGGTATTTGTCAGTGAACTAGAATGTCGGCTATGGGGGTATAAACTGATTTCAAAATCCATGAAGGTATTAATGAATGTATTGAACTTGAATTTGATGATTTATTATAGATGAAAAAAATGATTTTGAGTGATGGAGATAATTTTTTTAATTAACTATAGTTATTGTAGTAGGTACATACGAGGAAATTAACATAATAAATTATATATCACATTATAGATAAGATTTGATATTAATACTAACAATTTTATTTTTATTTTATATCTATGGATTTTAAGACGTACCTATGAATTATTTAGTATACAAATAAAAACATAATATTATGTAACATATAACATTTCTAAAGGCGGGAAAAGCCCCTTAGCCTCTTACCCCCCCCCCCCCCCCACGGCTTGTGCCACTCCGGGTACCTATATAAGAATTAAAATAATTAAAAACCTTACTATAAAGTAAGTACTATACTGTACTACCTCATGTATTTACTTGAAATCCTTTTAATTACTAATACGTTTATCTTTGATTACATTTGTAAATTAAATAAAGGTGGGAAAGTGGGTGTCCCATGTCGCTCTGCTGTACATAGGTTACAAGTGGGTCACTGTAATGGATTGTGTTAAATTTGAATTCAATGATATAATATCACTGTATAAGAAAAATGATTCTGAACGAACAAGGTCAGATATATATATCATACCTATGATATTACAAAGTATATTTGATAATATTATTGTGAATAAAATAATTTATATATAAACTGTTTACGTGGAACCTTGTTTTAAATTTTCAATCCTTAGCTATGAAAGTTGAGCATTTTATAAATTTTTAACTACAAAATCATTTTTAAATTTTGTCAAAATTCAAACTTAAAATGCTTATAAAAAAAACTGTGTCTATGTATTTTTCAACTGGTATTATAACAATATACCAGGAGCTTCGTATTAAATATTCACCCTTTTTGACCCAACAATTAACATATTATTGTCTATTATAGAAAACAAATTATAAAAATTGAATATTTAAAATGTCCGCAAACAGCTCAAAAAGATTCAAAATATTTTGAAAATGTTATCAAGTGTTCTAATTTATAAAATTAACATATTGTGTAAATTTCATGTATCTACAGTTATTCGTTTTTGAAATACAACAAAATAAGAAAATCGCTATATGAAAAATCGAGTGAATATCCAATGTTTTAAAAATATGAACTTCAAACGCTCATAAAAATTTAATTTGACTTTCTTGTATAGTCTGTCCAGCGAGAGAACGCACCGCTCACCGACCAAAACTGGTTCCCCCACGCAACACCCTGCCTCCTTAGCAAACCAATTTCGATACCAAGGTGTCGCGGAGGGATAAGCTGAATCGGCGCGTTCTCTCACTGGACAGAGTATAGACATTTTATTTTGATATAGGTAGACAAAATTATAAGGAATCTTGTATTACATATTTTTCAAATCTTAGAAAAATCTTAATGAATTTCTAACTTAAAATAATTTGCAAAATTTTCGTGATTTTTACGTATTTTGTCAAGATTTAAAATTTAAATGCTTATAAAAAAAAATTATGACCATGAATTTTTAATATTTTGCAAATTTAATGTCATTGTAACAATATATTAGGAGACTTGTATTAAATTTTCCAGCTTTTTAACGCAAAAAAAAATGGAAACTAAAAATATCAAAAACAGTTCAAAACAAATCGTGTACCTATATAGAACATGCTAATACCAATTTTGAGTTAAAATTCCCGATTTTTCTTAATTTTATGTGGTTTTCCCTCGCTGCTTTTGAAAACTGTTGGGAATTTCAAATTTTGACCTCTCTAATGCACTAACTAGATTCAGTTTCCCATCGAACAAGATACTGTTGAAGAAAATCTAAACAGTTTTACTGTCCTAAACAGTGATGACAGACACAAAAATTTAAAAAAAAAAAAATGTTTTTTTTAAAAACACACATTGTAAAATCAATACATTCATCGCTCCGCTCAGAATCTAAAATTATTGAGTTGTTTATAAAAAATTAAAACTATTATAGTAAACCAGTTATCGTCTGATCATAATTTTACTAATTATATTATTTATATTTGTAGGTTATAGGGTACAGTGTAGTACTACTTGCTTTTGCATTACAACCGGCTATAAAAAAATTGGTTAACAAAGTTAACGGTTTCAAACGAATACTGTTTGTGGATGTATACTTACTATTCTCATTTTTTGGTGCTGTAAACGTGTGGAGAGGAGTATGGGCTATGCTGGATATTCACTTTATACCAGGTTAGATATTGAATGAACATAATAATATATTAGGTATATATAATTTATAAAAATATATAGTAAGTAAATTATTGCAGGATTGTATAAATTAAAAATAAAAACAGAAAACGTTGTCGATTATTTAAAAAGAGCCAAGAATGTTAGTTTTTTTTTACTACCTATTTATATTTTTATTTTTTTTTAATGATCGATAAATACAAAATATGTGAAAAATTAGTTATTTATATTAAAACTAGGAAAATTGCTCAGCTGTACAGTAACAGTTTGGGTGTACCTCATTATTGAGTAGGTCAATGTAATGGATTTGGCAAACAAAGATATTTATATATTTATCACTAATCAAATAAAAAGGATGGAATAAAATCAAAACCGGGATCCTTGACGCAAGCGAGCTAACTTGTTTAAGGAAAGAGCCATTAAGTGAATAGGAGTAGTTAAGTGGTTAGGTTAGGTAACCAAAAAGCAGTCCTGTAAAGTATTTGAGTAAAAGTATTTGAGTAAAAGTATTCAAATACTTTTTTAAGTATTGAATAACTTTTTAAATACTTTCAGCATGAAGTATTTTGAATGGTATCTTAAATACTTTTTGGTACCTATTGAATACTTTGGTTTTTTATTTCGAACATTTTATTTTTATTCGAAATAATTTTAGAAATTTTAGAATAAATTAAGAACACAAAATAGGTAGGATCACCAATGGGTGGTTTCTTCCCTCAAAATATCAATCATACGCAAATACCCTATGCACATTTGCTTATTGTTCTAGTTAAGAACAGATTGTAAATTTCATGTAAAAATAAAAAAAAAAAATGTAATAAACATTTATTTAATAAATAATAAATAAAAATGATTATAAATTTACTACCTATGTGTCTATATTACAATAATTAGAAACCCACTTTAAAAACCAAAAGTATTTGAAAAGTATTCCAAATACTTTTTCAAAGTATTTGAGTAGTATTTTAAATACTATACAATTAAAGTATTTGAGTAGTATCTTTAATACTTAAACAAAAATGTATTTGAGTACTTACTCAAGTACTTTTCAAAAGTATTCTTTACAGGACTGCCAAAAAGGGGTTAGGCCCTATTAAGTCTCATGCAAAAGGACATTATGGGGAATTTCTAAAGATTAGGAGTAAGACCAACACGTAGAACCCAGTTACAGATAGAATTACTATCAGTCTGCAGAAGAATACAGAGACATTCGGGAAGCTGATTTACAGCAAATAAATGAACTTTGAAAATTTGAAATAGAAAAGATAACTTGAAAAAATATGGAGACTTGATGAAGATGATAATGAGGAGAGGAATTAGTTGGTCCCATTGGAAAATATAAGAAAGTAAAGTGAAGATATTGGAAATAGCTCCATGAACTGTTACGAATTATTTTCAAGATGCTACCTACGTTTGGTTTTAATCAATCATATCAAAATCTTTCCTAAAATAAATTAGCACAGTATCTGTCTTGTAAGCTTTCCAAATAGTCCAGTCAAATTAGGAAAAAGATCGGAAAAAATTCGCCCTCAACTGAATTTTGGTACACACTTAAAATGTACCTCCCCAATTGACATACTAAAAGTCCTGACGCCTAACCCCTGATCGTATCTCTTCACCCCCCCAAAAAAGGGGTGAAATCTACCCTCCCACTATTTTTCTTATAACTCGTTAACCATTGAACTCACGACAAAAAAGTATAGGACCAAAATTAAAGACCGTAAAATTTAATATAAGAATATAATATTGTAATCACTACAATTTTAACGTGGTAGTTTAAAGTAAACTTTTTTTTTAAAAAAACTGAATTTTTTTTTTTAAATTTTTTTTTAGCCAAAATGTATAGTTTTAAACCAAAATGACCTATAAGAAAAATGATAGCCCTTTGTTTTTACATAATATACTTTTTTTTTATTTTTTTTTTATTCATTATCATAAGATTTAAGGTGGTTGTTATGTACGATGCGGCGGTGTTATATCTGTACGGTTGATACCAAGTTCGAACATAATGTAAAAATTCACCGAAAGCTGAATATTGGCATACACCTACTATATACTTCATTAATTATTATACTTAAAGTTCTGACGCTTACCCTTCTTGTTTACCCTTTTAACCCCCCCCCTCCGCCTTCAAAAGGGTGGTTTTACAATGCTTTTACTTATAAATCACTATCCTTGGATATTGATCGAAGAGACGATGGACATAACTATTTCGCAAGAATCATTTCTATCAAATGACAAAAACAAGTTGAGGCTGATATCAATGTTGACAGGGAAATTATTGAAGTCAGGTATTTACGTATTACAAGCAGAAGACGATGCTGACACACTTATTGTACATACGGCAATACAAAAATCAAATTATAACACAAAAGTTGTGGTCATTGGAGAGGACGTAGATTTGATCATACTTTTATTGACGTTAACTCCAGATGATTCGCAGATTATTTTTAAAAAACCAGGCAAAGGAAGTACGGAAACTAGATCATACTCTATAAAACATTTACGGCTACAATTTAAAGTTGAACTTCCTTATTTTTTGTTTATACATGCAATTGGTGGGTGTGATACAACGTCAGCTATCTTTCAACAAAGGAAAATTAAACATTTAAAAACAGTTCAAGCACATCCAGAACCACACGATTCATTATTAGTTTTTAACAATGAATCAGCTACACGCCTACACATGAGGAAATTTTGCGTGCGGGAGAAAAGTACTTGTTAAAATTATTTAAAGCACCAGCAAACACTAATACATTGAATTGTCACAGGTATGATGTATTCCGAAAAACAGGGGCTTTCAGCAAAAAAGAAGTCAAACTTTCTCGACTCCCTCCAACAGTCGTTTCAGCAAAGCAGCATTTGTTTAGGCTTTATTTACAAGTAAAACTTTGGCGTGGGAAAATACTTAATCCGTTAGACTGGGGCTGGGAAAAAGTAGATAAAAAAATAATACCGATCTTTACAAAGAAATGTAGGACCTTAAAAGATAAGACGCTGGTAGATAAAAATGCATAAATGTCTTAGTTTTAATCTAAGCCTTAACGATTAATGATAAGATAGTTTTTTTATTAGTATTATTTTTCGTTTAATTCAAATTTAACACGTCCATTACAGTGACCTATTCAATGACAAGGTACACTCACAATCAGCGTAGATTTAGTATTTATAGTACCCATAGTATATTATATCAGTGCGAATTCTTCGATTTTTTAGAATTAAAAGATTAAAAGTTACACCTTTATCTGTTGTCTTTGCCTTACAACATAGGAACTTTGTATAACATAGGAAATGTATTTTCATCAGAAACTATTAATTTTGATTAGTTTTTATTATTCATATCTGTGGTTTTTATTGCTAGTGAGAATCAACCTGAATATCAAATGTAAAGCTAAAAATATTATCTTTGTTATCTAGTCGATTTTTTTATGCTTTAATTTTAAAGAAAAGTATGAGTTGTAAGTTTTAATATTTATAACAATTTTAATAATATAATTTAAAACCACGATGTAGACAAAATATAATGTATTCTCTACATGATGGTTATAACTTATAAGTTATAACTATCATACAATTAAAATATACAAAAATTGACCTGATAACAGTTAATGTTCTTAAATTTAAATTTGATAATAAGTCAATTCTCTGGAATGTAAAATGTTTGATTTGGATGTACGTAATTTTGAAGCACTGCTTCTTCTGGTTTCTTGACTACATTTGATCATTGTCACGTCAAACAGTTTTATAAACCGATTAATAACTTCTAAATATAAAATATTTATTTAATCATTTATACACAATTGTATTTTATAAAAACCCAAAATTAACTTTTCAGATGCTCCTATTACCAGTTATTGGGTATCTCATATTGCATGTTTTGCCTTCCTAGTCTTATTAAACTCCTCCAACTCCATATTAGTCCGTGGTGTTTACATAGACGCTGAAGAAGACGGTACACAATGTGTTGATTTTCCGTGTTATTATGTGCGGCTCTTAGTTCAGGTAAGGAACATACTAATAGTATTAATTTATATATTACATTATAATTATAATGGGGTTAGGTATATTTTATTTTTTTTTACCTATAATACAACAAAATAGTCGCCGCATCCGGCCCGACCAATGGTTTATAATATGCCCACAATAAACACGTATAATATTATTAGTAAATTAGTTATTCAGATTATACATTTATAATAATGATAAAAATTTATTTATGGGCGATTGTAACCTCGATCTCGTTTATTTCCAGGTAAAAACAAAAAAAAAATATTGATGCATAAACTCGGTCTTGATAAAAAATATATGACCAGATCTTCTCATATCTAATTAATAATTACTTAATAATAATATTGAGAACCATTTAGCATTAGTCAAAGGGCACTACAAGGAGGTGATCTCATTATCCTCCGAAAACTATTTTGTTTTATTTTAATTTTCATATTATTGAAAAGTATGAAAATTCGTTATAATTGCATTATATTTTATAAATGTAAATGTGTAAAATTTATTTTTTTTACTGATATTTCATTATATTTATACTTTTCAAGCGTGATTTCTATTTTTTCGTTGTGTCATGTTTGTTATGTTTTATCGGTAAAAATTATCGAGTCTAGTGTACAATCGAATTTTTTAATAACCGGGCCGAGCTTAGCACCAGAAAGGTAATGGCGGGCCCACTTTACATCTGTCCCTAAAATTATACTGATGACCAATCGCACTACTTCAAATATTATTTTTTATTTTGTATTCTTTAAGAAGACAATGGGCCCCATGTCTTCATTGAATATCTTTGTATGGATGTGGTGGGGCCCATTCATTTACAACTTGTAATAAAATATATGTTAAGTATGATTTGTATAAAATATTATTTGAAGAACAATCAGAAAAAAATTGTCTTATTATAGATATATATGACATTACTAAAAGGTATTTTTTACATAATAGGCGTATATAAAGTTATAAAATCAATTAAATAGTACAATATTATGCCAATAAAACTATAATTAATAATTATAATTTATAATTACAGTCATGACTTAATTTATTGTTTTGTGTCTCTATTTTAGAAGAGAAAAAGAAAAAGACAAATACGTGAGGACGAAGAAGGTAAAGAAATGACGCAAATTAAAATTGGAAACGAAGAGAAAACAGAGGTCATAAACGAGAAAATGTTACTTACAAGAGAAAATGTTGACAAAATCGTGTTAAATGAAGTAGAAGAAACATTAAACAACAGTAGTAGAGTCGTTTGACATTACATTAACCAACATTAAGGTTTGTACTTTTGAATCTTAGAAGGTATCGTTCTCAAAACACACCCAATCCTTTGTGTTCGTTAAAATTAAAATATATTTTTATATTGAAACAATAATTATTATTTATAATCTTGTACATACATTTAGCTCATTTCATTTTTATTGTTTTTATTTAGTTGTGAAATGTCATAGATTATTTAGTTATTGCGTGAACCATTTTATATCGACATTGAATTATACTTTTTGTAAATAGTACAATATTACATTATATTCGTAGTTGATAATTTAATAAAATGTATTGAATTTATAGATGTTATTAGCTTGTTAAATGTGTACCTTTATTAATTTTTTTATAAATTCAGATGTTCATAGGTATATTAAAATTGTATTTTAGTTTCGAGATTATAAATTATCGAGTAAATCAACTAATTTACTTGAAGACCTATTTAAAACAAATTGTATTTAATTATAATATATTATACAAAAATGCGTAATTGTCATGCAGATGTGTTAATATTTTTATAATTTTATGTTAGTTAGGTATTTTTTTTTGTATAGAATCTATATCAATTAAAAAAAAATTTTAATTCTTATAATATGCGTTTATATATTTAAACTAAATTTTTATTTTTTATTTAGTCTTAATATACGATTTAGAGAGTGCTAACTCACTTAGTAGTGCTAACGATTGGCAATTTGAATAAACTAAATTATGATAAGGACTTTGTTGTTAAAATAAGGAAATAAAGAATCGATAGGATAAGTGGATAATTTTTAGTTGTGTGTAGGAAAAAATATAAAGGGAATATAAATAAAGGAATTATAAGGAGGGACAAAAGGTTGAATAGGTAATGATTGGGGTTAGGATGTTTGTGACCTTAAAAACTCTAAAAATTCATGCAAATATGTCCAAACAATAATATGCCCTTGAAACAATTAAATACGATATTATAGAATGCGTTAAAAATTGCATTATTAATTATTCTTTAAAAATATATTATACTATAGGTAAATTTAAATGTTCTTTGAAATCTGAAAAATAAGAAAATTATCTAGGTACAGTGTATACAATTTAATAAAAATGTATTAAAACTATGGACTCAAATAAGGGGGGATTTAGGGGCTAAGCCCCTCAAACATTAAATTTAATGTTTTTAGGCTTATTCAATATTATTATTATTATATTAAGGTGAAGCCCCCCACATCTCAAATCTCAAATGTTATTGCCTATTTGTGCCCATGAACTTAAACATACATTTTTGTAAATATTTTTAAGAGTTTTTAAGGACATAAATATTTTAACACTACTAACATTTCTTATACTTTTAGTTTTTAATAATATTATATGAACATTTTTTTTTTTTAATGTTCTTTGAAATTAGAAAAATAAGAAAATTACATACAATGTATACGATTCACCAAAAATGATTTATAATATAAAAACAAATTTAGGAAAAAAAATACAAAATTTAATTTAATATAACTGTTTATAAGTCATACCAAATAGATTTATGATTTAGTCTTCAAAATATGCATTGCTAAAAGAAAATATCTAAAAGTCATTAATATATATTATATATACTAAATTTCTAACCCTGTTACATATGTTACAAAATTATGTATATATTTGAGTACCTACAAAGTTGCTACATAACCTATAGGCTATAGTATTGATTATTTGATTATAAATACTAGTAGTGTTTATAATCAATGGCTATACGCCTGTATATAGGTACCTACCTAGCCATGGACTTCTGAATAAATAGGTAGGTATTAAAAACAAATATATAGATTATACGTATTTTAAATTTATTACAAACGAAGTACCTATTTACATTACAGCAAAAACATAATATAATATATTATTATGCTATATTGATATTTTCAAATGTTAAGTAGGTACCTAAACGTTAAACATCATTACCTACTAAAATCATTACAATATGTCAATATGTTATTATAATATATTATTGTTTATCAAAGTTAAATGCGTAACAAAAATATAAAATGTAGTATTACCTATAACTTTTAATTAAATATAATAATACATAAAATTTATGTATAAATTTATGTCATAAATCAATCCATAAAATATGTAGTAATCTGTTTACACAAAAAATATATTAGGTGCTTATACTATAGTTATATACCTACTCATTAAATGACATATCAATTTGTACACAATATAATGTACCTATACTATTATGTAGGTAGGTACATACTATGGACTATGGAGTATGTGGTGAACAATACACACTTAAGTAGTTAAGTAAATGTTTAAATGTTAAATATTAAGTATAAAATAATAATTTTTATAATTCAAAATGTGATAAAAGATGAGGAATATTTGTCAAGTATCAGCATTTTATATAATATGTACAATACAATTTATATTTATAAATTATAATACAGGTACCCAGTGTTGATTTTTTAAAATTTCCGCAGTTCTATACAACTTGAAAATTACTCATATTTTATATTTTAGTTGTCACCTATGAATTATAATACTTTTCCGCTAATCGACTGATCGATACCTTTTTAAGGAGGTTGAAATTACTTCACAGGAAAAACTCTCAAGCCTTGTAGAATTATCGGATTTCCATAACTATATTTTTATCTGAAAGAAGCAGATTTCTTACAAGCCAAATTAAACTCTGATTTTTTATTTTATTTCAAATAATGGTATAAATTAATATGTAAACAAAATCTTAACATTTTCTTATTTTCAAAGACAGTATAAAATTATTGAAATATTTAAAAACGGAGTTCAATATATTACCCTCTATACCTAAGTTAGAAAAATAAAATGATAAAATTTGGTTTATTGTACATGGGATAGGGTCATTATTCACATATAGAGTGTATTTTTGTGTACAAAATAACATTGACACAGGGCGCCTTAATTAAAATGTAAAATATTCAAAATAATTTTTATTTTATAAAATAGTTATGCTTTGTCGATTCGGTAAAATGTCAAATGACTAGTGGGCCCACTAATATACATATCATATTAAATACCTACATTATTTTTAAAATAAATATTCTATTAAATCATCGACATCCGGAGTATAAAAATAATGTTGTATATTTCAATCTTACTCTGTGCAAATTTATTTAAATAGGAAATAAAATAAATATAGGATGTTGCATAAATTATACTTCCAGCCAGTCTGTTCCTAAACGTCCGTTTTGATGTTTTTAACTCTCAGGAAGGTCCCACATACTTGTCAAAAGGGACAATTAAAGAACAATAGCAATACATAAATAAATTTGCGCTCTAATAAATTAGTTTTGTGCCATTCATCAATGAACGATATCGTGGTAAGCACGTTACTTAGGACCTAAAAGGCTAGATGCCCGTTCTACCATCATACACAGTTCTTAAAAATACAATGTAGTATAAGTACCTACCTACTATAAACACAAAATTAAATAAAGTTTTATAAAAGAACAGGTACTTATAAGATTTCATGTATGACTGTGCATACATATCTGACTCGCCTGAGATTTATTATGTACCAGTGGCGTATTTAGGTTTTTGTCATTGGGGGGGGGGGGATATGATTTTATTCAATGGTCCCGCTTTTAAATCTAGACGTCTTAAGTTAGGACTCCGAAAAATGTCTTTTATATACAGCCTATGGGGAGGGATTGATCCACTTGTTCCTCCCCCGTAAATACATCACTGATAATATAATCTGTGCATGTACATTTCTCGCAAACAACATACATTAAAGGTACCCATATTTAAAACATAAAAACGGATATCAGTTTAGTTACTGAAATTAGGAATAAAGTCGAGGCTTCTTGAACAATAGGATTTGCTTTTTCTTAAGTAACAATAAAATTGGAAATAATAGATCAGTGCTCACTCGGAGGAGTATTTGGAACAACTCGGTGAAAAAATATCGTTCAATTATTTAAATGATACGCTAAAAAATGTAGCTATATTTATTACAAGAACGTGTAAAATGTGTGTCACCACTTCACACTTGACTAGGTACTTGAGACTATTGGTTTATTCATTTTAGTATGTAAAATCAAAAATAATAATTTAAGGCCATTATTAACAATATATAGAAATTATTAAAGTTCTAAAATATAACAAGCATATAACGCGTATAAGTACGCTCGGCCAGTCTTTGGTAAAAATTATGAAAACAATTTTTTTGCATACTTTTATGTGCTGTTGCGTGGACTTATAACTCATGGTACTGATTTCCTCGCCCTCGCACCCACTTCAACTTTAAGTTCGCTTTGATGTGTACCAGCACGTCGTGATCCTTCATTAAGAGTGCTAGGAAGTATTTTATGGAACTAATACGAAATAAGCTTTTAAAATAATGTGAATGCAAGACGTGTTTATTTACTACGCAAACTACAATTTGTCAAATTATATAGGTAACCTATATTTAATATTTTAATATTACTAAAACTATAATTACAGGGATTTTCTGTCTTAGGGTTCTGCCTGGTTGCCTCTAAGTACCTACTCTACATATTTAGGTAATGGCTAAGGGGCCTCTATGTCCAACAGCAGGGTGTGAATAATTAGATCAGCGGATTCCAGCCCGAGCGTCCAGTCCCGTTGTCACGTACACCAGTGTAGGTACATATATATAGTGATATACCTATATCTTATTACAAAATATATTTTAATATAACTGTATACAATGTGTACACACAACAGCTTAACATTTTGTCGAAACCGCTACTGCAGAGTGAAGGATTAAATCTTAAATTTTATATAATATAACTCATATGAGTTAGGACATATTTTGGATAAATATAAATATTAAAATATAAAATGGAAATAATATGATAAAATAAAAAGCATTTTATATCATGAATATAATATGATCTTCAAAATATTATATCTAACATGGATATGACTTAGGGATCCCGTTCAACCCGTATTTTAAGGATTGTCCTACAGTACTGTGCATGACTTAAAAATGAACCGATAAGTTGATGAATAACATACCTAAGTATAGGAA